ACGGACCCGGCCCTTCGGGCGCAAAAGTTTTATGGGGTTATAGAAGTTTTTTTTTTTTTTTTGAACAGCAAAGTGCGCTGTTCCCGTGTGATGGAGCAGCACGGGTGGCCTGGGCAAAGCAAGCGCACAACGAGCGGCCGGGATTTAGTGCTCACTCTCTTTCCCCCTCCTCGCGGGGAGGGAACAGAGGGAATTAAAATTCTCTCAGCTGCTCTCCCAGGCGCTAGGCTGGGAACTCATTTCAGCTGTAATCTGGTCATCGAGAGCACTGCTTGGGGCATCTTCACCTTTTCCAAGGGTTTTTCACTTCCAAACAGCACCCAGCGGACATCGGAGTGTGTCTGTGACTGGGGACGTGCTGAGGTGAGATGAATGATGGCACTGTGTGCACACTGAAAATGTTTGGCTATGTGGTCCAGCCTGTAATTACTTCTAGTTTTAATACGGCCAAAGGAAGGTTCTGCTAGGTTTTCGGGTGGTCTTCATGGAGCCCCTGTATCCTCAGGCTTCCTGGGCTCTGTCTGGGGTTTGGAGTTGAATACAAGTTGGGGTAAACCCATCATATGAAAAACCTAACTTGTGCCCCCACTCCCAGAGGCAAGGCCAGTGCCTGGCACTTGTTGGGCTGCTGAAAGTAATGGGAACTCAGAGGATTTGCAGGAACTGGGCCACAGGGCTGCTGCTCCCAGACACATTGTGCGAGCAGCAGAATGGGTGAAACCCGACGCTCTCCGCGTCTCTGTGCGCCGCAAGGATCAGATGCTCCGTAACTGTAGTCCTGCGCTCACTGCCTCCCTCCTCCCCTGCAACAGTTGTGCTCTGCTGAGCTTGGAATACGCGTTGGCTGATGGAGAGTCGTGGCCCTGTCCTGTGGGCCCCACTCACAGACAAGGACTCTGAGGCGTCCTCTGCGGCTGGTGACTTGTAGGAGCTTTGTCACCTTTAAAACTCTTCTTTCTCTTTCAGTTTGTGTGAAACTAGTTCAGAAGCTTTTGGGGTGGGGAGAGAGGAGAAACCTAAGCTACTTCCCAGAGAAAAGGATTCTATCAATGAATGTAACCAACTTGATAATCAACTTGATGTCTTATTACCCCCACCAGCGTATGTGGAGTCTGTAATGCAACTATGTGCATACAGGCAGCTGTTTCTGGATCAAAACTGTTTTTGAAGCCTGTGGTCTGTTGAGATGCTTCCAAAAGCAACACAAATATGACTAAGGTGACATTTTTGCCCCAGCAGCCTGTCTCCCGGGTGAATCCTGCGGCTCTCGGTACAGTGTATGGAAGCAGTTGGGCACTTACACAGATCTGGTTCGTCAGATCGCCAGAAGGCCACCAAAAAGACAAGGGCAGAACACTTATTCACATGTGCTCTGAAAAACTTCCTGAAATAGGTGACGAGTCCCTGACTGCCGATACAGTGTCTGGAAGGTCTTCTCTGCTCTAACCCCCCGTGCTGTTTCCCTGAGCTGCCGCGAGGTTGGGGTGCAGTTGCAGATAACACCATCCGTGTTCCCTTCCAGTGTGCGTGACCTTCCTGGGAAGGTTCTACCAGAGCCTGAAGGACAATGACGTTGAGTTCACGCCTGCCAGTATTGAGAAGGAGCTCCTGAAGTCCTGCAAAGAGGCAAAAGGCAAAGAGAACCGGCTGGTAAGTAGCAGGAAATGATACCTGCCTCTTGAGGAAGAAATAAGTTGCAAAAGTATTTGGCAAATTAGGGAAAACTATATATGTATGATACAGCTTCCCAGAGGCTGTTCCTTCTAGCTATGTGGCCACAACTGGTAGCCTACTGTAATGAGAGATTTGAGAATTATGACTGCTTCACTTCTTCAAAAATACATATTTTTCCTTCCTGTTACCAAAGTTCTGGGGATTACAAAGCTTTATTTTCTGTGAGACTTCTCCATCCCATAAGCGGTATTTGGGATGCTGCATAGATATTTATTTGTTTAGGTGAAAACTAAGTAAAGGTCAACTGAGTTGAAATTATTAAAACCCCATGATAAACCCCAAGGAAAAGGTCCTGAATGCTCCCAAGGAAGAGACCTGCGGAGGGGAAATGCTTCAGAAAGTCCTTCTCCTTGAACGAAGACAACGCTTAATCAAATCAGGTTAAAAAAGAGAAACAAGGCAAACAGTCTCAACAAGCACAAAACAGTGTGATAGGAAATGGCCTTTGCTCAGTGTTTTGGGCTTAGAGTTAGGCTTTCTCTTGCCTGTCTGCAGCAGTCACTTCAAAAGGTTCTGTAACATAGAACATCTAGCTGCACACACCATGAAAGGAGAGAAGATGGCTAAAAAAACTCCTTTTGGAAGTGTGTTTTTTTTTTTCTCCCATGTATCTCCCCCTTGCTTTATTTTCTCCTCTCTAGTGCTATTATATTGGGGCCACAAGTGATGCAGCTACCAAAATCATTAACGAGGTCTCAAAACCCATGAGTCACCACATCCCCGTGGAAAAGATCTGCGAGAAACTCAAGAAGAAAGACAGCCAGAT